TGGCTTCCGAAGTGGTAAAACTCATTTTTACCAAGATCTTAAACATTGCTCTAAAAATTCCAAAAATATTATAAATAAATTCTAAATAAATTCTAAAAAATACTATAATACTTTTATAATGCTAATATCCATGTAAGGCTATATTTTCCTACCTTTGTGATTTTTGATAATAATAAACATCAATTTAAATCCACTATAAATCCTATTTTTATATCAATAACTTAAATGACATGAGGTTCTTTCTCATGCTTCTTCTAACTACTAATATTTATAGTTTTTATAAATAGTATATATAGATAAAAGACCAATATGAATATTGGTCTTAATAAATAATCCTTAATATTCAACAATGAATAAAAATACTAAATCAATGAAGATAATTGCCTCCAAGACTTACGGAGACCCCATCTCTACCACTAACATTCTAATTTTCTATTTCTCAAAGGATTTCTATACTACTCACTATATATTGTAATTTAAAGCATTCTAAATGTATATTTTTATCCTAAAACAACAAGTGAGTCAATTTGATGACTCACAAATGTCTATTATCAAATATATAGCACATATTTCTATGAAACATTCTACATAGGTTGAAAGACCTTTATTTCTAGTATCTTGAAATATGAAAAGATTAAGAGGTATAGAAGTGGCAATAAATCCCTCAAATACTCGAATAGGTAAATCCTTTGGTTGAACCAAGGAATTTATTGATATTAATAGTGATTCTTTTTTTTTCTTTATTTCGATCTATTTTTTTTGTAGTTGATATAATTAAATATTCTTTTAATTTGAATTACGTTGACTATCTACCAAAGGTTTTGAAAGTATATTTTTAGAAACTTCTTCAAGAAATTTTAAAGAAAAATCTTTATATTCTTCAAATAGACTTTTAGGCATATTTAAATCAAGTTCATAAGTTGAAGTTCTATTATTGGGCAAAAAAGATCTAATCTTTCTTAAAGATTTTAGATTTTTCAAAGGTTGTATTAATATAAATTTATAAAATTTAGTAAAATGATGTATTAAAATTCTATAATTATGATGTCATTTTTTAAAATATTAAAATAATTAAAATAAGCCCAATATCTAATTAGAGAATTTAATTTTTTAATATCTTATACTTATCAAATTACATCCTATTTAAACAAACCTTTCAATAAAGAAGAAAAACACAATAAAAATAGCCAAAATGAAGAATGTTTATGTTTTCAACCTATCAATCATCTACAAATATTCATTGAATATTCATATGTTTATGTCAAAAAAATATTATTAAATTATTTTTAAATTCTAATATAAATCTATTTTTATATATTATTTATAATTTTAAATAAATTTTTTATTTATTAATAATAAAATTAATCATTTAATTTCTAAATAAAATAAAATTATTATTTTTTAAATATAATTTAAGCTTTTTTAAAAATATCAAAATATTTTCTATTATTTTTTGATATTATAATAATAAAAACATAATTATATTTATGAATTAAATTTTTAAGTTTATTAAAAAACTAAAGCCTATAGCTTATATTACTAATTTTATAAACTTTCTTTCAACACCACTATTAAAAAATAATATAATTAGAGAAGAAAATTATATATATATATATATAGATAATATAAAAATAAAATATAAAGGAAAATAGCAACATAATAGGAAATAAAATTAAAAATACTTATTTAAATAAAAAAATTTTTTAAAACAAATTATAGCATTTTATTTTTGTTTATTTTTTTTTAATCCAATGTTCTTACTCTTAAATACAACTTTATACATATATTTCTTTTACTTACAATCTTTTATTTATATGTTGGTAATATTTTAAATAGATATTTTATTAATATTAGATTCTAAAATATATGTATGAATTTTTATTTATTTATTTATTTATTTATGTGTTAAGAACAAAAATTCAATTAATGAAAATAAATAAGTCAAATATTGTTCGAAAAAAGGTGAAAATAATAAATAAATAAATATGTATATTCTAAAAGAATCTAAAATAGCTATAGCTAAAAGAAAAGAAAACTAGAGACTCTTGCAACAATATTAAAAATAAGAAAGGAATTGACAGGAGTGAGGAAGGCCTCAGTCTTGCTCTTATATACTATCTAATTAGGAGCTACGTAATGATGTTGTGTAGGACCTCCAATATATATCCAACTTGTAAGACACATGTCTAACTTGTAGGACAAGCTTCTTATATGTGTGCTACATGTCTAACTTATATCACAAATCATCAACATGTGCAACATGTAGCCAACTTGTTGGCCAAGTTTTTAACCTACTAATCACTTATAGATACATATGAAATTGAAGCTGCATCTATGAATCTTCTAAGAAGCTTTTCTACAAGATATTATCAAATTTATCTACTTTTATTTACTTCTATCTATTCACATTATGAAAATTATTATTTTAATAAATATGGATGTTTGTAATAGTATGTATATATATATATATTTATATATAATAGTGGTATTTTTTTAATCCTACTTTAAATATTCTATATTATATAGAAATTACAAATGCCACCATAGTTTTTGCTATTGGCACTACAATTCTATAAAAAATTCAATAAAATTTTGAATAAATTTTTTTTTTGTTACTTTTGTCACAATAATTTTATTCTATATATATATATATATATATATATATATATATATATATATATATATATATGAAGTTATTAAATCCATACTTAAATATTATTAAAGCCACACTTTAATTTTGTTAAAGCGACACCTCTCTTTTTATGTCATGCTCCATCTTATATCCATTCCTAACCTCTCTTTCTTATTCTTGTCTCTTATTTCAAGCCACTATCTCCAACTCTTGTCTCCACTCCAATTCCAACTCCACTCTTGTCTTAAGCATGGATTTTATAAATTTATTCTATTTTTTATATAATTTAAAATTTTAATTACTAAAATTAAGTTTTTTATAATATATCTATATATATATATATATATATATATATATATTCATATCAAAAGATAACATACTATAAATAATTTTTATATAATATTAGTAATAATATAATGAATGATATTAAATTATTCTATCAAAATATCATGCTTTTAGTAGTTTTTATGAATAATTATTTAAGTTTCAAAGATAATTTCCAAAATAAATTTGTTTCACATATTATACAAAAAAGAAGATATTTATTATTATGTTTTATTTTGTAAAGACTAAAGACTCTAAGCTATCAAATATTATTCAAATAGTTACATAAATTATGTTTTTTAGATTTTTTTAGTTATTGTAGATTTAAATTTTTATCTATATAAAAAATATAAAAATACTTTAATTTATTTATATTTAATATATCTTATTCAATAATAGTATAAATTTTTGGCATTGTAGTTGATACTTATAATTATAAAATTCTTTTAAAAATTCTTAAGCAAGTTGTTTTTTAAACCATTTTCAATTTTATCTAATTTCAATTCAATTTTATAGAGTAGGGATAAAGAATAGAGTTGAGATAAGATAGGGTCAAGGTAGAGATGGGAAGGAGGTTGAGAACAAGGTTAGAGACCTGAGATGGATATAAAATGGATCATGAGGTAGAAAGAAGGGATGTGGCTTTAATAAAATTGAAGTGTGGCTTTAACAACTCTGGAAATATATATATATATATATATATATGATGAAAGAAATGAATTGGAATTAGAAGAAACTAAATAAATATTTTAAGTTTATAGCTAGTTGTAGTTGAAGAAGCAAAAATTGTAGTGACATTAGCAATACCTTAGAATGTGTATGTGTATGTATGTATGTATGTATGTATATTTATAATTATATTTAGTAAAAAAATTAATTACTTATTTTTTATTTATATTTTTTTTATAAGATTTCAAAAGTAGATTTATTAAATATTATTTATTTAAGTATTTCATAAGAAAATATATAATATTATTTATTAAAATTAATTTACAAATAATTTGTACAAACAATCATTAAAAGCTTTGACAATAATACATATACTATCAAAAAACACATGCAAAGTATGTAAAGGTGTATTTTGAAAAATACTTTTAATCTTATTGATTGTTTTTGTTTTGATGGTTTTATTGCCATTACAAAATCATAGAGGAGATTGTTAGTTGTAGTATTAAAATATATATGCAATATATTCTTAATATCAATCTCTGAATTAACCTATATTTTCTGGTAATTCATTTAACTTTAGATTATTGGTTACTTTATTCAAAGTTACAATTATATCTAAAAATATAGTTTATAGAATCTATTTAAAAAACAATTATGAAGTTTTATTACGACTTATTTAGAAAAACCAATTTAAGTCTATAAAATTAGATTTAGGGTTTAGATTTAATGTTTAGTACTTGAATTTCAAAACCCCAATTTCTAAATTCTAGATTAAGTTTTATTTAAAGAAAATATTTTCTACTTAACACCAGTAAATATAAATCTATTTAGATATAAAACAAGTAATTAGAAAATGCATATATATGAGATAGATTTTTTTCTTGAAAACAATCATAGGTGACATTAAATATCACTTTACCAAAATAGAATTGAAAATTAATCTTCCAATAAATTATCCTTAAATAAAAAAATCCACACTAAATCACATGATACATTTTAACCAAATCATGCTAAAAAATTGGAAACTAAATGATTTTGTGAAGAGATTGTGTGAAAAAAATAAAATAAATAAATAAATAAATCTTTTTGATTCACGACAAAATTCAATCCATATCAAACTAATCAATAGGTGACTTCAGTCTATTACTATGCATGTCTTAAAAGATTTTAGCATCTGTTTAATCTAGTGTACGTTAAAATCCCAGGAACCAGTGTCATGAAAAATCTCAAGATAATTTAATACAAATAATTTCTCTGCCATGCCGAGGTTGTATTTCTGTACAAGCTCTTTTCGTCCCACCTGCTTAAGGACAAGTGGTATCACTAATATCACTAATTGACAGTGGCACTGTAGAATCGCCTTGTACACTGTGGATAGCCTTCATGAGTGAAAAGTCCTTGAATTTAATTAGATTGACATTCTTGAGCAGGAAAATCCGATTGAGCATCGGGATTACAACAAAACTACATGAGAGGGTCCAGTGCACCCACCTGCAAAAATTGCTATCAGGGAAGGACAACAGATTCTAATACAGGTTTAGGTTAAGAATCTAGTGCATACATGTTGGCAACTATACTGCGAGTTCTAATGCTGGTTACTACTTCCTCACTCGTCGCCAGCTAGTTTCATAGTGAATTATAACTGGCTAGTGAAGATTGCAGTTCCTGCATGAACCGTGTCACGTCATCAGAAGGTAAATGAATCCACGACGACTCAAATGCATCGTGGCTAAAATTTGATCCAATTTTCTCAGCTATGGCTCTAAAGACCAAGCCAAACCTGTTTCCATTAGTAGCTCCAAGACGTGGCCTGTGGGATACACCTACAATAAGAGCCTCATTCGCCGGCCCTGGAATGATCCCATAGCATATCATGGGTTTCACTGCCCGGCCTTGCTCCTTCAAAGAATCCATGACGAAGTAGCAGAGCTTCGTCAGAGAAAGCGGATGCGCTAATAGCTCAGCGTCTACACACTTGGGAAGTTCAAAATACCTAGAGCGAAGTTCGCAAGTGAATGGGTTAGAGGGTGCTACTCAATTTCACGAAACAGAGTGCGTTATAAAGCTTGAGCTGGAGATACCCCATGCCACTTCGGAAATACAGTTGGAACGTATATTATTACACAAATAAAGCAATCTACAAAGTACCATAGTTTCATCAGTTACTGGGTGTTCCTGTGAAGACTCACATACCTGAAGGCTTTACACATCTTGATTTCACCTTTCTTTACAATAGCAGCGCTACCAATACTCATACAAGCTCGTTGCACCTTAATTGCGAGCTGCATCCCTGCTCGCAAATGATCCCACTTATCAGGTGAGAGGGCTTCAAGGGCTGTACAGAAATTATCCGTCCAGTCTTTCTTCATATCTGTAGTGGAAGCTTCTAATAGAGCTGTGACACCATACACCACATCCGCTGCTGATACTTGATCGTTATACCCATGAAACCTGTACAAGTTTCTGAAGTACAAATCACCTAGGCCCGCGTCTTTTCCTACTTTCTCTAACATTTGTTTCAATCCTTTCCTAGTCTCGTTCTTCATGTACTGGTACTGCTGCTGGCACTCTGCAAGGGAGATTCCCATCTTGGCAATCAAGAGCTTCATGGTTTTCAAGCCACTGTCGCCCCATGTTTTCAGCTTGGGGGCTACGTAGAAGGAGCACATCATGGCTTCATACAAACTCCACTCCCTGAGCAGCATAAGACGAGGCTCCTCGTCGAAAATGATCCTCGACACATCTGGCGCACGGACTCGCGTCCCATCCTTTAGGGTGACACTGGTGCTGCTCTCGAAATTGCCAGCCAACGCTACAAACCCTTCAAGCTCGCTTTGGGTAGAATCATATCTCTCTTTACTCAATCGTTCATGTACAAATTGGTCCGTCAGCGCCACTCCCGCCAGCCAAAGGAGCTCATTTGTGTTCTTGTGCAGAGTATGGGCTATGTCGAACATAAGACACCCAGATGGACGGCCATGAAAGCATCCCATCCTGTAATATTCGGCCTTGAGAAGCTCCTCTTCTCGACGTTGCTCATCGTCTCCATCGTTATAGCTTTTCTTCCGTCTCTTCCTCCTCCTCCCATCATCGTCAGAATCCGAATCTGAGTCTAAGTCCGACTCCGAGTCTTCATAAACATCAAGATTTGAATCATTGGTAGAAATGAAGCTGGACAACCTGTAGAGAGGAAACCCATATGGCGTATCGGACTGCGTCTCATCGTCGTGTGTGAACAAGATCGTAACTTGAGGGTTCAGGTCACTCAAATTGTGCAAATGAATGGGTCGATGACTATCCACCACAAACACCTGTGCTTTCGATCCAAGCTGCAGCAGCTGAAGCAAATTGCGGGAGGCGCCCCAGTTGATTAGAAAAACCACGATGGAGTCATCCTCCGACCTGAGCGACCGACCCGCAAGACTCTGGATACTCTGAAATCCTGCAACTGGGTAGACAGAGTAACGTACTGAGTCTTGCACTAAGAGGTTAGTGACGATCTTCAGGGCACAAAGGGAATCCACATCCGAGGCAGATGGGAATATCAGTAGCGGGGATCCAACCGATGTCGCAACAGCCTTCCGAAGCTTGTCGTAGAAAGCTCCAGGGTTTGTCTCCCTAACCATGGCTGTCGGCAGGATTACAGGATTGATAACATTTCTCCTCCACCTCTCGAATATGTAGTTACACAGCCTCAGCACCCGTCCATACTTACTTCAACATGATGATACGCTTACAAACGGGAAAGAGATGAGAATCGTCTCATACTTGCCTCCCTCCCATTCCAACACCAAGCGCAACAAGAACACGCGCTTCACAAACCAATTGTGACTATGTTCCTCAGAAAATGATCCGCAGCAAAAGATTGAGATTCTCTCAAAGTTCGTGAGAGACTGCAAAACAAACAAACTATGTACTCCAAACGCTAGCACACATCGACCCAGGTGAGCGAAAGCAGTCCAGAAGCCTTACAACTCTATGCTCAAACTCTGATGCATAGCTGATCTCCTCAACGTCCGCAACCATATCAAAGAAAGACCCAGAGTCACTAATGAGATGCTTAACACAAACTCAGGCGCGGCGGCTTAGTTCAAAAAGCTCAAAACCATCCGAAGCTCTCTACCGCAAGTGCATCACCCCCGAGTCGTCGCAACCACAAACCCACAACTCGCAGAGCCGCAACCAGGTTTCCCGCTTCAAGCCACCGCTCAATAACATCCGCAATGACTCTAAGCAAATCCACCGCCTCCGAGTCACAGACAGAGTAACGGCATTGAGAGGAGCTCAGACGAACGGAAATGCGAAGATTGACGAAAAACATTTGGCACAGCGAATTCAATGCGATGAGCTCACTTGGGGTAGTGATGAATAATTGCTTTCTAGGGATCATTGCCTCAGAAAAAAGGCGCAATGACGACGAGCACATAATTTTCAAATGAGCCACCGCGCGACCAGGAACAACGGGGATTATGAAAATGTGGCGGGGAACCAGGGTTTCCCGCCACTCTGCTCCCCGCCTTGTCTTTCGAAACCCCTCCTTCCCGCCTCCGCCTTTTCACTGCCGCCCGCTCTTTTACTGCATCTTCCTTTTCTTTCTCGTGATCACGAATCTCGGTTTCTCACTCACTCTCTCCTATTCGTATAAGGTAGATTTGAATGGAGGGACAGAGAGTGTAAATATAGAATAATAGCTGTTAGTAAAAATCAGATTTGCTTCCAAATGATAACCATTTTTTAAAGAAATTATATAGTATAGTACGTCCCTTATTATATTTTTAAAATTTCGAGATATGTTTATATGTTTATACACACACACAGATAATCATGGGTAGTTAGAAAGATAAATTAGTTGACCAATTAATCAATTGGTTATGTACACACATATGATTGCTATTTTACACTTCCAAGTATTATCTTAAAAATAAAAAACATGTAAACAAATCATATGGTTTGCTAATCTCAATACATAATTGTCGCTTATAATTTCATAAATATTATAGCACACTAAAATATCAAAGATGCATCTATATACTAAAATATATAGTATTTAGAACATTGATTTTAATTTCAAACATTTAAATTTTAATTTATGAAATAAAATATTTTTAATCATAAATACAAATCTTTGTAATTCTTATTACTATTATTTAGAAAAATAATATTTTCTGTACATATATATCTATGCATGTATTTTTTTTTTTTTTGTATATAAAAATTATTATCAACATCTTATATATATATATATATACCTTGTTTAATTCACAACTTCAATAGATAGGAATTTTATAAATTATGCAAGAATTATTAATGAAGGAATATAAATTTAATACTTATAAACAACCTTAATTCTAACAAATTTTAACAAAATCAAAATAAATAATGAGATAAATATGTATAGGTATATATATATATATATATATATATATACACACATCATGATTTTGTAAAATATTTTAAAATTTTAATTTAAAGTCCACAAAGAATTTTACTAATTTTATGAATAATATTTAGATGTTAAAACAAAGATGGTATATAAAATATTAAAATAAATTAAAAATTAAAATAAATAATCTATAAAAGAAGTTCAATAGTAAAAATATATTAGAAATTAGACATTTTAGATAATAAATCCTCAAAACTTTATAAATTTTATTTAATTATTTTTAATTAAAGATGAAAATACAATCTATTATATTTATTTAAACGAGAAACTTTTTCAAGTTGTAAACTCTAATATATATTTATTCAAGTATATTTAGATTAAAAAATATATCAAATAAAAAGAACCTCAAATGTCGATTTTATAATTAATAATAAGTTTTAAAAGAACAACCAAAGAAACACATGATAAGATAGTATAAGGAGTCTTTAAGATGAAAGCTTTGAAAATGATTTACTAAGACAAAGATAATATAAAAATAGAATATATATATATTTTTTCTTAAAAAAAAAGATAATAATTATAATAAAAAATAATATTTCATATAGTATTTTTAATATATACATATATATATATATATATTAGATTTTATAAAGATTAGATAATACTTTTAAGTAAGTTTTTATTAAGAATAAAATTGACGAGAAAGATAGAGAAGGATAATATATATATATATATATATATATATATATATATATATATATATATATTTAGAACATTTAAAAAATAAAAATCATAAAGTTTTATCGATGTTTATTTCTCAGAAGAAAATAAGACGTAAAGACTTTTATTTTGAGGTGATTGTTTGATTAGAGTCCTTTTACATTCAAAACCATATTAAATCTAAAAGACTTGGTTCATTACACAAATTTTCTAAAATGAGAGGTTTGGTTGACTGCACAAAATTGTCAAGTAGATATCTTAGGATACAAAGGCTGATTGAAGAAGATTATAACATAATAAAATTTTGAAAAATAACAATTAAAAGAGTCTAAAGGTAATAATTTTGTATTGTCTAATCTTATTTGAATACGAGTCTTTTAAAAAGGTTATAAAAATAATAAAAACGAATTTATTTAATAAAAAAATAAAAAAATAAAAAATTCCTCTAGCATATTAAATTTGTTGAAAATTCAAAATTTCAAAAATAAATATAAAAATATTTATGAGATTTTTTTAAACATAAAAAATTAATAATTAAATTTTAGAAGTAAATATGGAGGTTTGTTAAATATTAAAAGATACCATTTTATAGAAAGAGATTTTTTACTACTCTTTTAGATATATTTGTTCAATTATTATAATTTTTTATTTTTTGATGATACTCATTGTAGTTAATTAGATATAAAAATAATATTTAACTAATTAAATTAATGAGATATCTAAAAACACATATTTAATTCTATCCTATTAGATTTTATTTTGGATATTTGGCACTAAGCATTTGACATCTTCATGTCTTCATAACATAAATGATACAAATTTTCTAAATTTATATAAAAGATAAAAATTCAATGAAATAAAAATATTTTATGATATTTTCTAGTAATTATATATATATATATATATATATATATATATATATAAATATTTTAGAATAAAAGTTTAATTTAATTTAATTTAAATAATAGATACAAAACATAATATATGGTGCTAACTTATTGATTTTCTATTTTAAATCTACTCCTTTTTATCTATATTACTCATTTTTCTAAGTAACAATAATTATTTTTTAAAATATATTTTTTAAAATATAAAACAATTAAAAATTTAAATCGAAAATTTGATTTAAAATATGAGATATTTAATTTTTTTTCATTTACTTTATTTAAAGAAGAACTTTAAGAAATAGGAAATATATAGAACCATGATAGTAATTTTACTACCAGTACAAATTATACATTATACTATAAAAATTGAATAATTATATATATTGATTATTAAATTTGAAATTAATTATTATATAATTCAATATATTTTAAAATACAAGAATTTATAATATAATATATTTTAAACTTGTAAATTTTTTAAAAAAAAATTATTTTAAAGTAACTCAATTTTAAATTTTAAATTTATCTATTTATTTTAAAATTTTGGTCAATTGAAATGAAGAAGATAATCGAACACATTTGAGTCATCTTTTAGATTATTTTTAGAAGTACTCTGATAAATAAAATAAAAAATGGTTATATTTTTTAATAAAAATAAAATATTAAAAATATATACATATATTAACTTGGACATAAAACATCATCAAGTTTTTATTAATATTATACCGTTTACAAAATTTTACAAGCTAAATTAAATCTGAAATTTCGAATTACTAGTTTTGAAGAAATTTTCTTCAAAAATGTGAAACTCCCATTTTTTTCTCATTCTATCAATACTATTAACTTATACAATTTTTATTGTCTAAAATTTTAAATTCCAGTATTCAAAATATTAATATTTTTTTTAATGTAGTATACTTTGTAAATATAATATTAAAAAAAAAAAAACAAACAAACAAACAAACAAACAAATCCTTATAATGCATGTTTAAGTTTGGCAAAACACTTTTCTTAAAAAACATATCATATTAATTGCTAACTAATTTCTATGCCATAATGTATAGAAAAAGTTATTTAAGAACTCTCATCCTCTCATGGCCTCAAACATTAGACATACTTGAGTTTCCGATACATTAGAAATAGAGCCTCCAAACAGAAAACCATGCATACCTTCAATCCCAACCCTATTCAACATTACACATGAAATACTAAATTTACATGTACAACACTCCTTCATTATTCAGTAGCCAGCACTTATTAACAACTTTGTAATAACCGCAGTCCTCTAATCTAATGAATCGACACAACCAGTCTTAGGATCGAACCCTTTCAATGCCACTGTCACGTAGCAACGGGTAGCCAGCTCTTGTAAAACTCCCAAGACTCGGCAGGGCCGTTTTGGTCCGTCTCCACCGTGAGCGCGTTGTAGATTCCATTTCCGCATATCTTAAAGTTGCAAGGGCCTTTCATGCAGCATGGTAACCGATCGTCGTGGTAGCTGCCTTCCCACACTGCGAATTGCTGCCGTTTGTCGCGCCATGAGAATGTACAAGTGAAGACTGTTCGGCCAAATATGTTGGGATGGAATTTCCAATAGTAGTTTGTGTTTGGATACAGAGTGGTGGCGCCGAAGTCGGTGTCTTTGGACCAACAATGGACCGTTACTGAGTCATTGAGGCTGTTGATGAGGTCTACAGAGGCTCCTGTGGGATTTCCGCCCCGGCTTGCATTAGACGCGTCGGGGGTAGTGGCCAGAAGTAAACCCACGGTCACCAATATAGTTGTTCGAAGCTTTACATCAAATTTGAGCTGGTGGTGCAAGTTTGTCATACTGGTGGCATGGAAGCAGCTGGATAGTGCAAGAAGTGAGAGCAGACTAACCAAACGGGAGTGACGGTGAAAGTGTAGCTGCTGTGGTCCTCTCGAGGCTGGTATAACAAGCTGTTATACGACGGTGCAGGACATACAAACGGTGTCGTCATGAAATCTCCTAACAGCTGCATGCAGCACGTGAAACATTCAGCCACCAACCATGCAGCTATCTTCAACGACAGATGATAACGGATCACCCATGTTTTTGCTCATTACCAGATAAACGAGAGCGTCAACATGTGATGAGCATCACCTAACATGGTTTTCTCGATTGTTCAAACCATACTGGTGCTTCGAAGGACCTGAAGCTTGCAAAACCAGGTTCTTATCCGCCCCCATCAACGCTTGAATTTGTTGGATACAGGTACCAAACTAATTGTACTCAGATATGGAGACTGAGATGATGGCTGTAGGGTGCGGTACTCGCATTATTTTCATGGTGGGCAGGTGTTCGAGAAGATTGGAGTACTGGCCAGTTACTAGGCAGCTTTCCACATTGCCAATTTTCGTGACCCTAGTTGAGCGTCTGATTGGCCAGAGTGAGAAATCCTCGGGTATTGCAACAACTCCAGG